CGCGTTGACGTCGGCGCCTTTGTCGAGCAGCATCTTGACCACCTGCTCGTGGCCTCCAGCCGAAGCTGCCTGCAGTGCGTTGCCGTACTCTCCACCCTGCGCGTTGACGTTGGCGCCTTTGCCGAGCAGCATCTTGACTATCTGCTCCTGGCCTTTCTCTGAAGCTGCGTAGAGTCCGTTGATGTAGGCTCCATCCTGCGCGTTGACGTTGGCGTTGTTGTCGAGCAGCATCATGACTTCCTGCTCTTGGCCTCCAATTGAAGCCGTGTCGAAGTCTTTGTGGTAGTGTCCGGTGTACTCCAAGTCCATTGAGCTAGTGTGAGCCAATAACGGCGAGGTAACAATTCGAGGTCCAGTTGGAAAACATATACTCAACATCGCGACGAGTATCGTGACTGCTGCAGCTGAGATGACAATGATTGTGATAGCGTCTAACGATCCCAGCCAGCTAGACTGTACATATTCACCATCGGTGTTCAATGCAGCAGTACAGTCTGCTGAGCGTTCGTAGTCCTATGGGTTCTTAGCATCAATACTTTATGTGCTGAAGACATCATCTCGCTAATACCTTTTGAGCAGTACAAAACGCAAGGTATGCTTCACTGGCCAACCTCACTCCGATTTTGACTTGGACCATACAAAGAGTGATATTAATGAAAATACCGGCCAGAACGACACTGCTGACCAGGAATGTAAGCTGGTTGCTGTAACCTAGGTACGGTTGTGGCATTGTTAAACTGGTCTTGGCTTTTCGTTTGCCGCCTTGCATTCTCCGCCATGCAATTTTACCCCGGGTAATCGCAACAGCTGAGATGACAAAGACAAGAAGAACTGTTAACATAGTCGAGTCGCAGGCCCAGGGAGTTCTGACCGTCGGACTGTGCATGTGCGTACCAGTTGCGACACTTGTCGCATCCAAGGCTCGTCGCAGCATTTTGGCTGCTGGGCGTACTCTAAAAGATCGTTGGGTACTGACTGCACGCTTTAAGTTTGACAGTGGCGGTGGAGGCAAGCCAGCTTGGACTGCAATTTGACATTGTTTAAGCTTCACGTCTGTAAACGTGGACTTTTTGGGCATGTCAACGAAGGCTTCCGTTATTTTGAAGGGCTACACATACCATCTTTTCCAGACAGAGCATGTAGAAGTCTTTCTTGCTTGTCCATGCTGCTAGGCGAAGGCCAAGCCAGGTAGGGACCCCAAAGATGATGGCGATCATCGTACTCAGGATGACAGTCGAAATGTCGGGCGACTTCATCAGCTTCTTGATTCGCCCTAGGTAGAAGCCCACTGCAGACTTTCGTGACGTAGTATTGATCACCGTTGTTGATGTCGTTGATACTCCCGAGGGTGCTGGCGGGTTGGGCGGGGTACCAGGCTGATGCAGAACAGGGGCAGATGTAATGGGTTGGTGATTCACAAGTGCTATGGGCGAAGTAGTGGTGACCGACGTGGGCATTGCAACAATTGATGCACACGACGACAGTCGTGTACGAAAAGGATATATGATGCTCTCTTCCGATGCGAACGCGATGCCCAAAGGTTATTTACACAAGGCAGCTGTTCGACAAAGCTGAATTACTGAGTTACTCAGCCGCAAACTAAACCTTGTGCAGCACTGGGTGGGTTCAGCTTCCCTGACGCTATCTCTCGAGTAGTAGGTACGTTGGTCAAATTGAAGCAAAGTCTCAGACAAGAGCGCGGTTGTTGTAAGTGAAGGCGATCATCACTGCTGATAGGGACGCCGATCTGCCATAAGGTTGTGAAATTCTGTATGAAAGGATGAGAACGGCGCAGGCAGCCATCGAGGCACAGTCCTAGGGAACAACAAGACTGGGCATATGCCTTTAGGCACTTCTAGAACCGCCGCCATGCGCCACGGCTACTTTGAAGAGCCAATGAAAAGTGGCACTGATATGCACTGATGCATCTCGCCACATCAGGCCGCTTCCAAGGAACTTTTCCCTTATTCAACGGAGCTCTCGGCATACACGCTCTCACGTAGAAGTTATATCTAAAGACTAGGAAAATGATGTTCCTTAGTTGCCCTATTCCCCTAGCCCTCCGATATCTAAGGAGACTCTCGGAGTCGTGAGTAGACAGTGGGGCGTATTGTTGAAGCGTCGATTGACGGCGTTGACGAAACGATCGACAGCATAGCCAACACCGCAGCGATCCTTGTTGGAGAGGTCCGAACCGCCAACCTGTCTCGCGACGCAGTGTGTCTCTCTACCCGGGGATGCACCTTACCTGCTGTCGTGCCCGCTATCGCGTCATCCATTGTGTCTATTACAATGCCTGGTGGTGGGCCTCCGCGCCGTTGTTGTGCCCGCCGGTGCACATTGCTATAGCCGAATCAAGAGACCTCTATGCCCGTGTTGTGTGGTGACTTGACTGTCATGAGCCGGACGCGCCTTGGGAATACCGAATGTGCGTTTCGCAAGTTTCGTTCGTAGAGGGGGGTGTGCCTGCATAGGGCAGCAGGTTCGAGAATTGGGGTCGTCATGATTAAGTGGGTGAGAATGTGTGAATACGATCTATTGCATGCTGCGCTCCACTGGGATATCCTCGTCCGCTTCAGGGCCGCTTGCTGGTGTCAGACAAATGTGTCGCTCAAGATGTTCCGGATTGGTGATGTAGCTGTCGTCGCTACGTTGCGGGGCTGCAATAGATTAGTGGCACAGAGTCCCTGTGGCCAGTGTGTTCTTGCACGAACCAGCACGCTGCACAGACATCCTGATATGCTCTTAACGACGGCCTATGAATCGCGCTTTCTGCACCATCAGATCGTGTTCTCAGGCAAAAGTTGCTTCTCTATTTGTAGCATGGTGGCTATCGCACAAGCAGGTGTTGTCAACCTTGCCCGGCCAGCCTCACGTCACGGTAAAGGCCGAGGTACAGCATGCCCCAACAATCAGCTTGCCGCACTGCAACTCTTGGAGGGCGGTCTTCCTCACCTCTAACTTAGCCGACCGTTACTTAGCACTCGCAACAGACCCTACAGCTACGATTTCCACGCCCTCCACGAGGGAGCCGCCGTGCGCTATTGATCCATTATGTCAATGGGGGGAAGAAAGTCATCAGAATCGTGATGTATTCAGAGCTGCGTACATGGTGTTTATCTTCCCGGGAGGGAGCTGTGGGCACTAGCCGGAAATGGGAAGGCGCGGAGCTTCAAGAGAAGAGCCGCAATGAAAGTATGAGCTAACCCCTTCAGCCTGCCTCGAGACTTCAAGTCTTCTTACACCGCTAGCGCATAAAGACACATACAAGACTAGATGCAAATGCTATACACGGCAAGCAAAGGAAGGCTCGGATGGACCGAGGGCTTGATTGGCGACAAGATCCCCTCCTATGCGATCCTGTCGCACACCTGGAAGGAGGGGCGGGAGGTGACCTTCGATGACCTGAAGGGCCTTGGTAGTGTATAGGGCATTGTTGCAAAGAGCAAGGCTGGTTGGGAAAATCCCGCTTCTGCGAATGAGCTGGACTATCAGTGCAGCGGGCCGTTGGCAAACACTGCAACGGACCGCTAGCGAACCCTTATCAGCTATGTTTTGCCACGTGATATCTTCATCAGAGGGTACTGCATCACATTCTACAAGCGCAGCTTCCATATCGGTCATCTTGTTGTGCTAGGTTGGGATGAAAATGGGTGGCTGAACGCGTCTCGGCGCATTGACTGCACTGACACAGTACGTAGCCCCTAAACCCTAATCCAACCCCTAACGTAACCCTAGATGCTTGTTAAAGAGAGCTGTTGCAGCGCAGATGCTGTTAGATTGACCTTGCGAGTAATGTTTGCATGAATTTTTTCTTGCTCTGAGCGCTGTGGGCTGAAAAGATCGGGGGTTGAGGTTACACCGATTACACCCTTCTGGTCGCTTAACTTGGTTAGCAAACCCCAACGCGATACCTATTACAGCGAACCTTGGCACCGATTGGGCCCCCTCAGTGGCCTCATATCGGTTAGGCTAAGAGCTAGCGCTTGCCTCGGAAGATAATAAAGAGTAGGTCCCAGCTGGGAGAGTTACAATGTCGGCGTTGGTCTGCGATACGGAGGGGCCTTCGTACCTAGAGGTGATGGCCTTGCAAAACGAATGGCGGATGTTGTGATGGTGGTGAAGGTGGTTATAGAGCGTCTTATACGGCACGATGCTTCTGCATGGGTTGCGGAACAGTTGTTTGAATTGCGGTAAGTGAGAGATGACGCTCGGGATCTCTTGCTCAGCTTGCTGTGCAATATTAGCAAGGGGCAATGAGATGAAAGAAGGCTCTGCCGCAGCGGTGCTGTTTACCTGCCTACTCCTTCGTTGGATCTCAAGTATGGACTGTCTAAGAAGGCGTGGAGGCGCGTTGAAGAGGCGTGCACTCTGCTGGATTGCTTGTGGCGCGTCAGCTGTCTGCCACGCCAGCCAGTCCGGGTAGGAACCAATAAAAAGATAAATCAAACAAATCAGGTAGCAGAGGCCTAACATTGGCGAAATGTCTTTGCATTTGATACAACTTCCTGATTTTGGCGTTCCATCAGAATCATTCTCAGCCTCCCATTATTTCTCTACTGGCGAGTTTGACTTGGTGCAATCTAATGACCCACTACATTCTGTTCGAGTTGTATAAATCTTCCGCTTCCTCCTAGGTCAATCCACAGGCCGCTTCTCTGCCCTTCTTGGCAAGTTGACACGCTGCACCCGTTGCGGTTGTACAAGCGATCGCTTCGGATACTTCCGCCAATGTACACTGTATGGATTTCGTTGGAGCAGGGTCAGGGGCAGCCTCTGCAACAGGTGCTGGTGCGGGTGCTGGTGCTGGTGCGGGTGCAGGTGCAGGTGCAGGTGCAGGTGCTGGTGCTGCTAGACTGAGAGCAACAAACGTAAGGAGGATAACAATCTTCATCTTTGATCGACAAATTGGGAGTTGCTGAGATTGAGAGGAATGACCAAGTCGGAGTGAGAGTGATCTTGAGATAAAGTGAGGTATGGAGCGCGTTGGTAGAAGAAGAAGCTTTCTAAAGGGTATTTATCAAGGACGGCGAGAAACACTAGTGGTCGACCTCGCAACATACTTCTTTAAGCAACACAAGCTGAGCCAGGGAGGCCCGAACACTAGTGGTTGACCTCGCAACATACGTCTTCAAGCGACACAAGGCTGAGCAAGGGAGGCCCGAACACTAATGGTTGACCTCGCAACATACTTCTTCAAGCGACACAAAGCTGAGTCAAAGAGCCCCGACAGCGTCATACTCTCTGTCTCCGCGGATCGACTGGATGCCTTGTAGCGTTGTCTATAGGTTACTTACAACGGTCTAGTATATCTGACTGTTGTCAGGCAGCAGCGAACGGATACGGGGCGATGGTCAATATGCTACTTATAGCTAATAATGCTGATGTCAACGAAAAAAATGGCAGTCAACGGACACCACTGTTACTAGCAGCGTATCCAACAAGAGATACTACAATTGATAGTACGGCTTAATTACGGGCACGTGATTTGGTGATTAGTAGTGTTGACCCTAACTGTAGCGTAACTGATAAGTAGTAACTGCGTGAACTGTAATACAGCTGTAGTTGTAATAATTTTGAGGTGTTATTGTGCTGTACTAAGGCATTAATTTGTTTGCAGCGCACGAGCCAAACCCCAACCGCCGCAAATGCAATGACCAACATCACAACTTCAACCTGCTACTGCACAACCACAATGAGGGCTTTTGGAGCTGGAGTTTCAGGAGATTGCGTCCCAGGTGGTGAATTGTCCATTCACCAAAGGGATAGTATTGTCTCCAAGGCAGAGGCAGGCTGTACCACTAAGGAACTGGCAGAAGAATTCAGCTGTTCACGTTGCACAATCCAGAAGACAATCCAGCGGTACAACATGATTGGCAGCAACCAATCTAAGCCTTGGCCTGGTCAACCTCCAAGTATATCTCATTGAGAGAGATGTTATCTCCATTGCCTGGTTTGAAATTGTCCAAAAATTGAGTACAGGGAAATACAGAAGGCGCTTGGTTGGCTTCTCACCTCTGACCAGGGACCCTCTGTTTCCGCCACCACTATTTGCCCAACTCTGGCCAAAGATGGACTCCAGAATTTCAGGGCAAAACGTTGACCAAAGGTTACTACTGCTGTTGCTCAATTGCATCTTAAACATGTCAGGGAGATCACAGGCTTCAACTAGAAACAGAAGGTTGTCAGATTTAGTGATGAGTGTTCATGTTGAAGTCGTGTCTTAAGCAAAGCTCGTAGACACTATTCGATTGGTTCTTGGGGATGAGCAGAGGTACAGAAAGCCGTAGGGGTTGACAGTCACCTAAGCAAAGCTCAGGTGGTCAAGGGTAGACTATCTGGGCGGGTTGTAATAACCTTTGTAATAGTCAGGTAGTTGTCTAGTCAAAGACCATGGCGACTGGTTGCAATGAGTAGTACAGAGTATACTGTCTGGCTCGAGAGCAAGTGAGATTCCAATAACAAAGTTGATTGATGAGATTGAACACAATGCCATAAATGTAATGGATGAGCGCCCTGCCCTCGATATCTGTTGAAATAAATGCAATAAGTCAAGGTGTAACCGCGCAGGGCAGTAAGTCAGGGGTAACCGCGCGAAGCAGTAGAATCAGTATATTCTGTTGTTCTGTTGTTCTGTTGTTCAGTGTTCTGTCTCTCTCAGCGGGCCATCAGGGTCTGTTTACATGACGTATCTGTCGTTCAGACAGAGGTAGAAAGGGCCTGTTGGAAAGGGCAAGAGCACTGCGCCAACACACGTGGCACATATGACCTCCATACTCCATTGACCGTCACAGTATCCACCCCACGGTACGCAGGCTTACATGATCGGCTTGGAAGAGAAACCAGAGATCTCGCGTACACTGACAGCACCGGCCATCTCACTCGGTATTTGCGTGACCACTGTAACGGAGGTTTCCCAGTTCATATCGTGATGGATCACGATCATGCACTGCAGCCTATCGAATACTACCTCGAGGTGAAGAGTACCCCAGGACAGTGCAGCACGTGCTTCTACATGAGTGACGGCCAGTACAATAGGGTTTTGACTGATCTTGACAGGTCGTTGAATGATATACTGACTATGGCACAGATGGAGGAAATGGCAATGGACCTATCTCAAGGCCGAATGAGAGTCTACGTCACATTGCGTGTTTCCAATCTGACAACGGCAGATGTGGATATAGACATTTTCGTTAATCCTTTCAGGTTCAAGGGTACTCTGTTGGATTTTGCAGCGGAGCAATGGTTTGTCAGTATATGTCACGGTTCAGGGTGCTCCTGCCCGTCGTACCTCACCTGCCATGAGAGTAACTGCCACGTCACACTAGCGTTGTTTACAGCTACCCACATATATATACTGTTCGTAGCTTCACCCAATACAACCTCAGTACAATCTTCAACTTCTTCCCTTTGCGTACAGTTCACTGAACTCCAACAGTATACAATAGTCCGGTATAGAAGGCGCGTGGCAAGAACCGATCGGCTGGACCATGACTGATATCCGACACCGCCTGGGCGAGGTTGCAATAAAGAATCACTTGCTGGATTCACCGTTCACGTGCTTCAGGAATGGATGTTCCATTCAAAGTTTCTTTTGTGATCCGAACACCTCTGAGATGACTAGCTGTGGCAAACCGTACCCTTCAATCTTGATGAAGCCAACTCATCGATCATCACCAGATCCCATCTGCTTGCCTGGCCCACTTGCGTTTCGTCTCTTTACGCTCCCTTCAGTCTCTTGCAAGAAGGCATCGTTGATCTGCTTGCCCTCATCGTCTACATCGCAGCTGACGTAATGCAATAATTGACCGTGTGACACAACCACAATCTCTTTTCCTCGCGGTTCCTCAGAAACTTGCGCAGTTTGAGGCTCGGGCTTCGAGAAACGCACCATCAGGAGCAAACTTTCCACTCTTGGAGTAGTAGTCCGAGATTCCAAGCATCTCTCGAAGTCGACAATGGGTTCATACTCAGATTGCAACTGTTTGATACCGCTTTGTGTGTACGAAGACTCAGCTGGAGCGTCTTGGGCAAGTGGCAAAGCTAGAATCTTGTTCTTGCCGAACTGCAAGTAAGGCTCTATGCTGACCGAAGCGGTTTGGCATGTGGGAAGAATTGAAGGATTGAACTGAAGTTGTATTGAACAGTATGTATAGGTGAGTAGCCGTAAACAACGCTAGTGTGTCGTGGCAGTTACTCTCATGGCAGGTGAGGTTCGACAGGCAGGAGCACCCTAACCGTGACAGTATTCTACAGCGGCCCACACCGCCACATTTGATGTAGGGACCACTAGTGTATGTCGTGTTATAGCGTCTGTCACGAGAACGCTTCATTAGGATTTCATATCTTTTCGGCAGAAATAATATACGTCTTTCTCGTATAATGCAGGGGATTCAGTCAAACGGCAGTGATTTCAAGTCGCTTTCATAGAAGACGCAAAAGATTTGCTGTCGATTTAGGAAGAGAGTTCCAAGCTCAGAAGGACGCTTACAGGAGTTGTATGGCGATGTCTTGCAAATTGTCCTGCACGACGCATATGAGCAATTGGTCGGCCAAATCATGCGCAGCACCTAATGTGTGTGGGCACATGCTCCGCAGGGCCAGTTTAAAGTCGTTCTAACAGCACCCTCTCCTCGCGTTTAGCAGACATCTTGAAGTCGCCTCGCAACCGCATCACGCAGACTCCGGCATGCGCATCACAGAGTGTGGGTCAAGTTGCTAACATGGCTTGACCTTGTTCATTAAGACAAATTACTGCAGTCTATGTACTATGCCTACCAGCACCAGATGCTCATTGCCAAACAATGTCAATTATATGGCTAGGTGGCCCGGCGTAATTGACTTGGAACCTTGGACTTGCTTCTCTGATTAGGTCAACCCAATCTTCATAGGTTCTTTCCCTCGATCCAAAAAGAGCGAGCATAGTCAAGTCCATGGTTCTGTATGCAAGTCAGCTGGCACATGTGATCAAGCTTCAATTGCACATACCGAGACTTTTTCTCCGCCCATGGCGGGCTTACCTTCGGTGTCGCTAAGACCTTATCGTTGATGACGATATGGGCACCCGGCTTGAGAGCGTCCATGTGTGACCGTAATATCTCGACACATCGTACGTCACTCCAGTTGTGGAAGATAGCCCTGAAAAAGTACACGTCTGCGCCTACAACTGTCTGCGGGTCGAACATGTTGTGCGCTTCGAATGAGATACGGCTACGCAGTTCTGCAGGTACCTTAGAAGGCCCTTCGGCAACCACATCCTCGAAATCTTGAACAATGCACTTCAAGTCTGGGAACGCTCTAGCCAGCTCGATAGAGCAGGGACCCCATGCGCCACCAACATCAACTACCGTTGATACCTTGGTCCAGTCGAAGCCTGTCAGAGCAAGGCTAAAGTCTTCAGTTGCGGCAAACCCACCCATAGCTCTGGCGAAGCGTTCCATACGCACTGGACTTTCCGAAAAGAATGCATACATCCCTTTCGGAGTATTGTTTGCGATACTAAATCCCTAATCTGAAGTCAGCTACACTGGCCAGCAAATTCGATGCAGTTCGAGCTCACAGTCTCCTCTGGCACGTGTGGCCGTCCTTTGAACCGGTCTAACGCCTCAACTGTCTGACACACTGTTAGCTTTAGTGTGCCAGATCGTTACGCTGAAGATTTACCTTGGCGAAACTCGGCCAGATCTCCTCGGTGAATAACTCAGCAATATTGGTTACTGCCTCGTTCTCTTGCATAACCCGTGATGTCGACGTGTGGGCTACTTTACAGTCCTTTTCTTGGAAGAAGTGATTGAGCATGGCACGTTTCAATACTCGCTTGATATCAATCATGTCGAGGCCTGTTGCTGCGGCAAGCTCCTCGTAGGACATAGCTCCATCCAGGGGAATAAGCTTCGCAATGCCGAAGCGCTGGACAAACTGGATTTCCAAAATGTCTGCTAGCGATAAATACTAGATATAACGATCAGTAACGCCCGTATTTCCGAGAATGTATCGCCAAGCACCTACAAAGCGCGTCTTAAGAACCTCTGTAGGGCCTTTCATCAGTTCATTCAGCTCCTGCGTGCACGCAATCACTTCATGTTGTGCCTCGATTACTTCGGTCGCCGACTCCGGGACCGGTACTGCAAGCGAGCCATTTGCTTCGAAGGATAAAGAAGGAAGATCATGAGATCGGATGTAGTCGTCTACTATTTTCGTTTTGGTGGCGATGATGTCTGCCAGTTCTGCGATCCTTGTCGGGATGGCCATTTCGTGAAGCTGATCTGTTGCGGTGAAGTGCCGCTGTAAAATACCATGGAATACTGTGTTCAGTTGATATCTAGCTAGGAGGACACATTGTATATGTGTCCTGAAACATGCTAGTCCAAAATAGTCTGAGTAAGAACAATCCGGCCTTGTACGGACCGATTGATACCGTAACAGATGTGAATCAAGATTACGGATTAGGGAAGGATATTTTGGCGCAACGAGTAACCTCAAAAGGGCGGCCGGTAGTATCGAACTAAAGCTTGAAACAAGCTTTATGACACTTGATGGAGGGAATATAGATGCGTTTATATCTCATCCCCAACGGCTTACTGTGCACACCCCTGCATTCCCGACAGGGATAGGCAATCCAAGATGATGCAAGCCACTCTACATGTTCCTATTGAAGTAAGCGCTAGATGTTAGTTGGCCTTATGACCGTGGTGTCACTGGCTATATAATTGGTGTTGCTCGCACCGCGGCCTGTCACCTGCTCAGCACTAAGCTCCCTAAGTAGAAAAGCAGGAGTGAGGCCATTGGTTGCAGATCTGAACATCATGAGCATTCATTTCTCTAAACGTAACATCCACCAAGCCATGTTATGCAGAGTAATGACGTGAGCGGACTATCGCGCTCCTCTCACCGTTAGCACGACCCATTTTCGCCTGAAAGTGGACCTCTTGAGAATCTCAGTAGAAGCTCCTGATGCTCAAGACTCTAATGTACATGGCTGATCAGAAATATCTCCAACCTAAGGCTAGGGTAGGATACGAATAAGGGGTGATGCCTGCACCATTGCTAAGGAAGAGGAAGCGTTGCCTTTCATCGAGAAATCTTTAAACCACTTGTCTTAGTACAAGTAAAATATAGCTATAATACCCTGAATCGCCGTAGTCTATTCATCAGTTGGCTGGTTAGTCGGTAAGCAGAAGGCAACGCACATTGGGCTGACAGTGCGGCAGTTGTTTAAATGGTAACGTGACAAGGGCAATCGGCTACGGTAGTATTGGTCACTTTGGGTCTTTCTCCGGTTACCCAAGCGGTAAGTGGACATGCACAGACAAACTGCTGCACATCCACCTGAATGCTGCGCTCCGTCCATCATTCTAGTCCTCTACTGCGCATGCCCTTCTTGAGCCTAGCGCTGATTTTTCATAGCTCGCGTCTCTGAGATTTGTGCTGCTCCCCAAACAAGTGCAGTGTGCCCTAGGTGGGGCGAGCGCGCTGTTTGTGCTTGTAGAAATCATATTGCACTCTATTGTCGGCTAACCTATGAGAACTCACAGTCATTGCTGACATTGGTGACGGCACGAAGTGCGGCAATCCGCCATGGTGGAAGACCTTTGGAGACTCCTATGTTATAGTTGAAACCTTTTTCATTCTTGTCACTGCAGTGCTTAGCGAGTGCGGTTTCCCCTCGAACGCAGCTGCAAGACAGTCCGTGCCACACGGCAGACAGGAATCATGCCGCCCCGCTTGACAGATCAAGCATAGCGCCCACCTGTCAGCGCATGCAGTGGAGCTGGTTCGTGCGGTAGCTAGTGGTCTACTTGTTCGGTTTCTTATAGTGGTGCACACAACAGATGGCAGGGGTGGTGAGCAACTATAAGTACACTGATTGGTGGAAAATAAACACTTGGAGTTTTTGCATTCTTGGCTATACCCCTAGTTCGTTGGGCTCACCTATACTACTTACGCCAGACACCACAGTAAAGGTTGTACTTTGCCCTTGAATCAGCGTTGTGGCGTGATTGATATGTTACTCGTGGCCCACTTTGAGATAAAGTCAATCTGATAACGCTTGACGTACAGATCAACCCAGAGTACACCAAGCTCTTTTCTCGGCTATCTGTGAGCCAAAATCTCGTACGAGAGACCTTGTAGGTGGTAGGCCTTGCTAGTTTAGCGCTCAATATAGCGTAGGAGCTCTTGTTCTTGACATGGATGGCGTGCCTGTCGATTGTGAGCCTGAGTAGCGCATGAGGCTGAAATACCTTAGTGTCTCTGCGCGAGCGTCCTATGCTCAACAACATACTTGCCAGCAATCTGCGTATCATTAAGTCGTTCCCCAGACTTCAGCGATTCTGGAGCTTCTAGCGTAGCCTCAACTAAGCCCACACTGGTGGAGTCATGTGTTGTCCTGATTAGTGTTCTGTCAGCGCCCATTTTCTCGCAACTTTGCATCTGAACCAGGTTCTTGGTAAGATGTCTCATGAGATGTGAGTTGGCTTTGAGCGTGGAAGGCGCGACACGTATGGACCTGATTATTGACCACACTCCATCCAGATCCATCCTTCGGACATACAGTAAGCATCAAATTGCGAGCGGCTTAGGGCATCTCATCGACCTGCACCGTGAGCTCGTGAACTGGTGGGATGCTCTTCCGGATGCCTTACGTTCGAAAGAATCTATCACAGAATCACCTGTCACCCGGAAAGGTATGCATTTGAAGCTCGAGTATTACTTGATCCGCATTTTTGTCAGCCGAGCATTCATCTTCCCGAGTGAGAGTTCGCGAAACAGCATCAGTGATGGATCTCCCACCTCCCAGGAAGCAGCAGCGCCCCTAAGAAACGCACCATCTTCAAGCAAAAGCCAACCGTGCGCTCTCCTAGTAGCTGATTGAATCGAGGCTTCACTTGCAGTGGTGGACACTTGCCGAATCCTCCGGCACACTATCGGCCTAGCACGCGCATCGTACACCGAGTTTAGGCCTTGTTAGTCATCATTACCCAGTGTTTGCAACGGAAGACGATTCGTTTCCGACGAGCGTTAAGAGATGGACTCTCTATGCTCAAGGAGATGTCGGCTGGGTGCGAGTCGGCTCGGTCGGAAGTGTCCTTGATTGAGGCGTTCGAGCGAGTGATTGCGAAACTGGATGCCGCTGCGGCGGAAGGACGAGCCGACTCGGAATACTCCCGCTTCAAGAAATGGGAACAGCTGTGGAAGAGTGACACATCGTCCACAGACAGAGTGAACGAGGTCAATGAGGGTATTTTGATGCCCCTGGCCCCTCAACCAGCTGGTTCCTGGAGACCCTCCGACGGTCCACCGCAGAGAGAAGGCACCGTTCCTATACCCTTGTACACACCTTTCCTCGGCATGGACGGCCATCTTGTTTAATTTCCTCAAACTATGGACGAATTTTCCTCCTTTTTAACGTACAGTTTCGGACCCGGCCATAACTATATTCAGATTGCCGACAATGAAAACGCGTGGAGAGATCCTCTATGAATAGACCTACGTACTGTAGTATTTTTTTTACAGCCTGTTAACATATACATTAACGTTCTACTAAAGATATTAATATTCCACTTACAACTATTCACTTAATCATGCCTATATCCTATCCCAAATGGGTAGATCCAGTGCACGTTGACTGGATTTACGGCTTTTATTTGTTAGTGATAACAGCTAAACAACTTTGGTGTATTTTCTGTCACAACCAACGCTGGAAACTTCTCAATTCTACCTTGAAATTACATCTTAAAGTCTATTCAAGCTAAAACCTGGACGAATATCTTGCAGTAGTAAACTCTCGATCCTGTCAGGGGGCAAGGTGTTGAAGTTGTGTCTTAAGCAAAGCTTGTGGGCACTATTCGATTGGTTCTTGGGGATGAGCAGAGGTACAGAAAGTTGTCAGGGGTTGGTTATCACTTAAACAAAGCTTAGAGTGATAGACATTTGACTATTGGTCAGGTTGTAATAATCGTTGTAATAGTCAGGGGGTAATTGCCTAACTTCTAGTGCTTTTTTGTATAGACCCTATACAATTTAATTGTGGCCTGTGTACAACCCCTGTTATCACCCTGTACCATTCAATATGTAAGAATAAACCCTAAAGACCTTGAACAGTGCTGGATTACAATGCAATTGCATAAGAAAATGGAATACAACTCTGTGCACAATTTATTATCTTCAGAATTACTGCATAACCATTGTATGGATAAAAAGTGGATAATATGAATAGGCAAATGGGGGTAAGGGTTAGGAAAAAAGTTGTTGACCTTTTTGGCTGATATTGTAGACCAAGACTCCAGGAGTTCAAACATGCCCTTGCCTTGTTATGAGGTGCTTTGGTTGTAGAGTTATTGCTGTCAAAAGGTGCAATCTTGGTGCTTGACAGCCTAATTGGGTATAGTTGGCCGCTGAGCACACTAGTCTTGATTAGTATTTTTGGTGAACTCCCAACATTACTGGTTATTCTGTCAGCATTTCTGCCAAATATACCTTTGTAAGATGTGCAATGCAGCATTTATGTGTATCAGATACATGCCACAAATTTTCTTTGTATTAATCCATCATGTGTAGGCAATAGTTCACATTAAATTGTTTTTGACCCAATTGGTATTTTTGGTGGAATCCACTAATCCCAATTAGTACTTTTGGTGAAATGATGAGCACACAGGTTAGGAACGCCATTCTGTACCATGCACACTACTTTACCTTTTGCAAAGGCCATCTTATATAG